TTCAAAATGTGTAAAGAAATAGAGAGTGAGAGAATAGAGTAATGGATTAGGAAAGGTTGTCCTTTAAAAAGGATGGTCAGTGAAAGCCTTTCTAATAAGCTGATTTTTGAATACTTATGAACATATATCCAAGAATCCCAAAGAAAATCTTAACAAATTGAACTCAACACTAGTTAAAAAAAAAAAAAATACTATAGCATAGTATAAGGCTTATCTCAGGAATGCTTAACATTTAGAAAAATTTTAAAATAATTTATGAAATTAAGATAACTAAGGACAAATATATTTATCTCAACAGTGCAGGAGAAACATTTGATGAAATGTAATCATCATTCATTATTAAAACTGTTGGCAAACTAGAAATAGAAAATAAGCTTCCTTAATATAAAAAATATTAACTAATAACAATATAGAAAATATTAATGTCAAAATATCAAAAGTATTCCCTTCAAAATCAAAACAAGACATGGATCACCTCTTTTAGTCAGCATTGTACTGGAAGTACTTAACAATGAAATAAGACAAGGGAAACAAATGGCTGTTTGAAAGGAATAAATTTGGTATTATTTGTAGATTAGTTAAGTCTACATATAAAAGTTGAGGTCACTAACAAATTTTATAGATATTACAGGGGCTTTCCAGATGGTGCTAGCGGTAAAGAGCCCACCTGCCAATGCAGAAGGCATAGAGAATAGCTACCATACCAGATATTAAGAGTTATAAACTGTAGAAATAAAAATAGTATGATGTTAGTACAAGGATAGCTAAATAGACCAATGAAACAGAACTGAAAACAGGGAAGTGTACATAAATTTATGTGGAGTTTGTTAAATAGGAGGAATTCTCATTACAAATGGTAGGAGTGGGGTGGGCTAGTCAGTAAATGGTACTGAAACTCACAACTCATATACATGCGTGCTCAGTTGCTTCCGTCATGTCTGACTCTTTGTGACGCTATTGACTGTAGCCCACCAGGCTCCTCTGTCCATGGGATATTCCAGGCAGGAATACTGGAGTGGGTTGCAATGCCTTCCTCCAGGGGATCTTCCCAACCCAGGGATAGAAGCCATGACTCCTCCCTTGCAGGCGAATTCTTACCACTGAACTGCTGGGGAAGCCCGACAACTCATATAGATAAAAATAAAATTATTTATCTCTCTTCATATTATATATAAAATATATTTCATATTAAAGACCTCAGTATGAAAACTAAATAGTGAAATGTTGAAAAGAATGTTGGGAAAGATGTGATTATGACATCAGAGTAGGAAAGATTTATTAAGCAAAACTCAAGAAGCAAAAGTATAAAAGACAATAATGGTTAGTATTTCTAAATGTTTTATGTTTCTGAACCAATAAGGACACCATCAGCAAACTAAAAATCAAGCCACAAGTTGGAAGCAGACTATGGTACAGTAGTAGTAAGACCCATTGTCGTTCTAGGATGGTCTCAGGAATGTCACAAAAGACAAAATCCAGGTACCAGTAAAATGTGGAAGATGCTCAACCTCATTAATAAATACAGGACTGCAAATTACAGTAGCAATGAAATGCATTAAATCTCCACTGGACAGGCAACAACGAGTGAGAAAGACAATATTCAAACAACTTTTTGAGGGGATGGGAAGAAAGTGGGGGCTCTCATATCCTTCTCTTGGAGGAGAAAGCTGATGGTGTTAATGTCCTATGAACCTGAAACATTAAGCTGGCCTAAAAGTTTGTTTGGGTTTTTCTGTAAGATGGCACAGAAAAATCCGAACAAACTTTCTGACCAATATCATGCCTAAGTATAAACCCTAGAGGAGCTCTTGCATGTGGACGCAAGGAAACTTCTATGCTTATGTTTAAGAGTAAAAAGAATGGAGACAACACAAATGTTAACCGATATAGGAATGAAAAAATTAATTAGAGCATGCTCATAAAAAGGACAAATTAGACTTATAGAATGGAGACAACACAAATGTTAACCGATATAGGAATGAAAAAATTAATTAGAGCATGCTCATAAAAAGGACAAATTAGACTTATATGTATGGATAAGGCTGAATCTCAGAATTATGAATGTAAGAGGAAAAGAGCAAAATTCAATGTTTCAACTGTTCTATGCCGCCATTTATGTAACTCTTAATAAGTATGCAAAACCATATGATAAATCATATATGATCTATTGTAAAAGTATAAAATATATGGATGAAAAGATACACATCAACTTCAGAATATTAGTCAGCTCAGGTGACAGAGTGATGGGAACAGAGTGGGAGAAATCTTCTACTTTAACTGTAGTATTTCATTTAAAAAAATCAGAAGGGGGCAATTCAGTTTGCTTGTGAACAAGAAAAATAAAGTTGCCAAAATAAAGCCAGAGATACTGCCTCCCCTCGCATCTCATTAGTTTTAAGTCTGGGTTATACATGTGAGCTATTTTTATATCCTTACTCTAGACCACATTAATGCGTCCCTAATTTCTACCTCTACCCATAGCAAGGAATTCAAGTTCAACAAGAAAATATCTTTTTGTATTCTCCCCAGAAACTCCATTGTATTAACAACTGAGAGGTGTCTTAAAGTGGTTCAAAAAAACACAAATTCATTATCTTATCATTCTAGAGGTCAGCAGTCTAAAAGGACCAGGCAGGGCCTATTTCTTGCTTTTTCCAATTTCTGGAGATCTCCAGCATTACTTAAGTTCAGGGTCTCACTTCATTCAGACCCTCCTGCCTCCCTTTTGAATCGGCCCTTGTGATTTCAATGGACTCACTTGGATAATCCATGGTCTTCTCCCTATCTCAAGATCTTTAACTGAAGCACATCTGCAAAATTCCTTTTGCCAGGTAAGGTAATATTTTCACAAGTATTAGGAATTAGGATGTGGACATCTTTGGGAGGGCCACTATTCTACCTACCACCATTGGCATTATTTCTCATTGTGTTTTTCTCCTGTCTCTCTAGATGTTTTTCTGTCTTCTACTTTTTGGCTTTGTGGGATCTTAGTTTCCTGACCAAGAATAGAACCCTGCATTCACTGCATTGGAAGCAGAGCCTTAACCATTGGACCACCCAGGAAGTCCCTAGATGTTCTTTTCTTTTTTCAAAATGTGTTTATTTCTCCCTCTATCACTTGCTCTCTCTTAATCAAATTGTCTGATATTTGTCTGTTGAATTAGCTATACCCTGACAGCAGTGACCAGAGTGTGGGATTTTATAGTATAAAGGCTGGAAAGGCCTGGTCAGCCAGGCTGGAAGTTCTAAGTTAACTTCCCCCTACCTGTCATCTCCCTCTGCTTCATCAAACATAAGTACTTTCATTGTGCTCTGACTGGTTGCATTGTCACCCCTGGTAGGATGCCTCCTAAGGTATTAAAATGGTGTTAGTCGCTCAGACGCATCCAACTCTTTGAAATCAGGCAAGAATACCGGAGTGGGTTGCCATTTCCTTCTCCAGGGGATTTCCCCAACCCAGGGACCAAACCTGTATTTCTTCTGTCTTCTGCACTGGCAGGCGGGTTCTTCACCACTAAGGCCACCTGGGAAGCCCAAGGTATTATAAAGGTAGAATGGTTGAAGGTCATGGGGCATCCCGAGCATCCCCGTTCTGCATCCCACTCCCCCAAATGCTCACTCTGTGATGGAAGCCTCTGAGCATCCTTTCTTTCCCGTCCTCAGTTCTCGGGAATACCTAAAGAGGCGAGCGCCTCACCTTACCACTCCCTCTGGGACCCGGGCCTGAACAAGCGCAGGGGCCACAGCCGATTGGAAGCGAACGCACGGGTCTCTTCCCTCTCTCTCCCGCAACCTGGCTCTGGGACCGGTCTGGCTGGTTCCGACATCTGGGGAATTAACATGTCCCGCCCATCCCTAGCCTCGAGCCGCGCAGGCTCCGCGTCTCCGCCCTTGTTCCCTCGCCGCTTCCAGCGCCTACGTGTGAAAGCCTCTACAAAGGGCTTGAATGAAACGTGTGTGGGTTTAGTGAGTCGTAAGCCACCAGGGGATCCCGTCTCCCCACAAACCAGAATCTCTCGCAGGAGGCTGAGGAGGGGGAGGAGGCGAGGAGCGGAGCGCTGGATTTCGCGGGCGCGCGCCGCGGCTGGAGCGGCGGGGAGAGGCCGGGCCACCTCCCCCCTTCCCAGCCATGCACCGCCTCGCCCGCGGCGGTTCCAGGCACCACAGTCTCCGCCCGGGCTGCGCCCGCCGTCGCCGCAACGAGCTCCTGCGGCCGCCGGCCCCGTCCACCGAGGAGCAGCGCCAGCCCTCCCCACCCCACCTCCACCACCGATTCCCTTCTCCGCGGGGACGCGCCGCCCAGCAGCCCGCGCCGCCCCCTGGTCAACTTTGAGCGAGAGGAGAAACAACTTTGGCAGTGGCCGCGGGTTTCCAAACCCTCGCCTCCAGGTCCGCAGCAGCCTCGTGGGTTGCCGGGGTTAGATGGGGCAGTTTCCCGGGCGCATCTGAGCGGCGTCTGGCAGCTAGCAACCTGTTTCCAGCGAGCGGGATGGGACTGTGGCTTCTAGGCATCCGAAGGAGGGCTACTTGTTTTTCTTTCCCTTGAGCGACCTCGGCTTGCTGCTGGATAGAGCCGCCTCGAAAGGATGTAAATAGGCGGAGCAACTGTTACCGAGAAGGCAACCACCCCAAAGGCAGGGAGGAGCGCGGGGCTTCGTCCGGGCTTCTCCCAGTCGCAACATTAATCATCAAGCAGGTGTTGGTTGCAAGTTTTCAAGGTCAGCCACTCGGAGCAGCGAGTCCCTCCCTGAACCTTGGGGATACATAGCGCCCGGGTTGGATTTGACTGAGAAATGCTCAGGACGCCAAACAAGGAAGGATCGTAGAGGGGGAGTGTTGTGACCCCAAGACCCATCCCCCAACACCCCCGTAATCTCCCGTCCCCCGCTGCCGGGGCGGGGGTTAGTATGTGACATGTGCCTAACTCTCAGCGGCAACTTAGGCAGCAGGTGTCGGTCCTAAGCGGGAGCCGCTGCTGCTGGGTGCGCCCTCGCCCAGCCATGCGGGCCGCGGGCGCACCTCTCGCCCGCACCTCGCGGCTGCTGCTTCTGCTGTTGCTCAAGGTCTCCGCTTCTCCTGCCCTCGGGTCCGCCCTTGCGCCCAGGAAGGAAAACTGTCTGGGAGAAAGCTGTTCACCTACACTGATCCAGCGTCGCAGCAGGGACGCTTGGAGACCAGGAGATTTTGCAGGAGACCTTCTGCCAACTCGTGCGCCCAGGGAGGAGGAGCAGGAGGCAGTGGAGCGCTCGGCGCCCCCGTGGGACCTACCGGCCGGTCCCGGCGGTGACCCAGGTGTGGGCAGAGGGGCGGAGGCGTCGGCAGCTGAGCCCTCGGGACCTCCGGCTAGGCCACCTGGAGCCTGGAGGTGGAAAGGTGCCCGGGGTCAGGAGCCCCCTGAAACTTTGGGGAGAGGGAACCCCACGGCTCTCCAGTTCTTCCTTCACATCTCGGAGGAGAAGGAGAAGGGTCCCAGAGGCGCTGGCCTTTCTGGGCGTAGCCAGGAGCAGAGGGCGAGGAAGGAACCCGGAGCCAGCGACCTTTATTATTGGCCGAGGAGAGCCGGGAAACTCCAAGATTCTCCCCACGACCCCCAACCCAAGACGGTCCATGGACCGTCGGGGCACGAAGGGCGGACGATTGCACCCCCTGGCAGGGCGCTGGCTCAGAATGGGTCCTCCCTTGAAGGGGTTCATGAACGCGGGGGTCCCCGGCGGGGGAACAGCACGCACCCACGCTTGCGACTGAAGAACCCCTTCTACCCGCTGACCCAGGAGTCGTACGGAGCCTATGCGGTCATGTGTTTGTCTGTGGTGATCTTCGGCACCGGCATCATTGGCAACCTGGCGGTGATGTGCATCGTGTGCCACAACTACTACATGCGGAGCATCTCCAACTCCCTCTTGGCCAACCTGGCCTTCTGGGACTTTCTCATCATCTTCTTCTGCCTTCCGCTGGTCATCTTTCATGAACTGACCAAGAAGTGGCTGCTGGAAGACTTCTCCTGCAAGATCGTGCCCTATATAGAGGTAATGCCGTCCAGGGGTCTCGAGCTACTGGCTTTATTCATTTCCGGGATTTATAGCATCAGGACTGCTGCTCCACACACCTACCTGGCCGCTGAACCCCGGCACTTTTCCTGAGTCTCTCCCCCATTTCTCCTGCCAATCATGTATATACATTGGCATTTATACACTGGGTGTGGGGGGCGGACCTGAGCCGGCTTTGTCCAGTCACCTTCAAACTCAGCTGCTCCTGAATTCGGAAATAACTATGATCACATTACACATAGGGTTGTTTAGGTTTTAAATGTATTTCTCTGAATATGGTGTTTTATGGTGTGTGTGCGTGTGTATATATATATATTGGCGATTGTCAGATTGTAGGGTTAATAAGTAATCAGTCCTTGACTGTCATTATTAGAGCCTAGCAGGGATAAAGCCCTATATCATTTATCTACTAGGTTTCTAGTGCTCCAATATGATTTATTCCCAAGAATATTATTAAATTCTTTCCTTAAATATAAAAAATTGAGTAATATTTATTTAACAGAGGAAATCTACTTTTCTTTGTCACTTGGTCTTGACACATTAGTAACCTCCCAAATTAGTTTTAGGGTCTGGCTGTCTGCCATGCTATCCCATCTGAATTCTTATATTCTTATGTCATTTCTGTCCCTCTGTTTTCATTCTCCAATTTTGTAACCATTTTATTTACTTTGTATGAATGACCTTAAGGAAGAATAACAGTTTGTACCTCATGGCACAGAATTTACTGAACATTCTCAAAATGTATAGTATATATCTGTTATTTGTTAGGGTGTAATGGAGTGACTACTTTTCTAAGACTAGAAAATTTCTTAAGTAGGGGACACTTAATAGATTCTGAACTTTGGAAATGAGAATCTTTGAGTAAATTTTACTGTAACATCCTATAGCTAGTGTCCTTAACCGTTATTATGGTAGTTGGAATTTGCTCTTTAAATGGCTTCTCTTTAAACACCAGCTCTTGGATGGAGCCCAAGTGCTTTGTTGCCAGTTGTGTTTTTAGCCAGCTGGCCCTTGATTTCCTCCATTCAGACTGCCCATTTCATTTATGGAAGCAGAAGAAGGGAAACTGTAAATATTCCAGAGCCCCTGATCCTGTCTGGCACCAGGGCCAGTGACACTATGTTCAACATTGTTCCAGGGCCTAGAGCTAGGGGATAAGTAAACAGAAAACAGTACCTACTTAGAAGGACCAAGGCAAGAAGCTGTAAATAAGACCCTCTGCTATCCTGGCAGGAATCAGCTGCAGGATCATTGCATGCTGGCTAAATCAGCTGTTGCTGCTTTACCAAGATCTAGGATTTCTCTTGTTGCCAAGCTCCAAGTAGCTCCGAAACATCTAATTTATTTGGAAGACAGCTCATTTTTGAATTGCAGAGAAGGAAGTTAAATTTATGGAAGAGAATATGTGTCTACCAGTCATCATACAATGTGAGGTTTCTCTGATTGTTTAAATAGTGCAGAAGAAATTGACATATGCAAAAAAGAGACAAAAGTAAACTAGTAAGTAAATAGGAGAGTTACTTCCAAGAAGAGGAAAGCAAATTGGCTTGTTTTAATTGTACTGAACAGGATAAAATTTTCATACAGTAGAGGGAAAACAATAAAGAGGACAGAAAAAAGAAACTGGGAAAGAAAAAAAAATAAAACACCAAAGTTCTTAGAAAAAAAACACTTTAAAATAATTTCATTCAAAATCAGAAAAGAATAATCAAATTTTGGTGAGTTTTATGAAACCTATGAGTTTCGAGTGATGGTATTATGTATGTGTTTTAATTTTCTTTCTAATTCTGAGGATTTTAGAAAAAATATATATTTTCATTTGTATTTAGTTTTTAAATTTAATTCTCATCTTCTTAAGAATAGCAATTATTGTTATTTTTTACTCTGTATTTTCTCCTCCTTCATAGCTCTATTTTTTTAGTTATTGGTACAGAGCTTTTTTTCCCTCTAGAGAATCAAAGGCTTGAAAAAAAGATTCACTCATTTTTATTTCTTGAAAAATTAAACTATAATATACATTTTTACTTTTAGAGTAACGAATAAAGACCTTAAGATTTAGTGTTTCTATGCTCATAATTAATCTTGTTCTTCTGAAATAATTCTATAATATTTCATAATTTTATGAGAAAATGATCACTACTGTGATCAGACAGTAGTATTAGCTCCACAGTTTCTGATTATGAGTGCAAGAAATATAACTCAAATTTCAGAATAAAGCATTTCTGCCTCCAAGAGGCATTGCTATTTTCACAGAAGAGGGATCTAATGCCTATTCCATGTTGGGTTTCTGGGAAAAAAACAGGGAAGTTGAACTGTGATGCAAATGTCACAAAGACTTCAGCAGACGACACAGGAGCTCTAGGGCTGGGATGGTTCTACAGGGATGTCTTGAATGGAGGCGAGAGGACTCAGCCCTTACATAACCCCGTGATGGACCTGTCACTAGATGCAAGTTGCTCCCAGGAAGGGGGCATAACCTTGAGTTGGGTGGATCTCTTTGGTCAAGGGCAATCCTATAGAGGAATGCAGCTAAGAGCCATCAACTACCAATAGTCCCAGGAGGTAGGGAAGTCAGCATTTCATTCCTTAAAGGACTTTTGGGTGGGAAAGCAATCTGTGTGGGGAGCAACAGCATCCACTACAGTGACGTTTGAATTATCATGTTGAATTAGAACCAGGTAACATTCTAACTGAATCCCCTCATTTTAAAGATGAAGCATGACACTCAGAGAAGAGAAATGACCCCCCTAAGTATGTACACTAGTCAATGGCAACCAGACCCTTTGTCTCAACACTTGATGTTGATATTTGGTTATTAGCAAACATCTATGAGGCAAAACAGTGTCCAGTGACTCTTTTCTTTTTCTGCTCCTTGTTATCTTTTAAAGAGACTTTTGAATCCAACAGGCAGGAAAAAAACAATAAACCTAGTTGACATCGTTTGTTTTATGATAAAATTTATAGCTTTTTATATTTTTAAATTCCATCTTCCTTCCCATAAACTGACAGTAAATTCCCTAGTTGGTAGCTCATTAAATTTTAAAAAGTTGCAGTAATTTGGAACAACTGCACTTTATTTTTTTTACAATTGCACTTTTTAACGTGCCAAAGATGATTATCTTAATAATCAAATACAGATATATAGGTTGTACTTTATGTTCTTAACAACTACAAAGTGTCTTAGATTGGGGAGCACATTACAGATGTTTTTAAAAACCTTCTCCACAATTTGTCCTCATTCTGAATCTTTTTCTTCTTGGCTGCAAGACTCTGAAAATTATTTGACATTTCATCTCCTTTTATTATCTAGATTTGATCCTTTCTTTACTTTTTACTTTTTTATATTTATCTTATTCGTTGGCTATTCTTCCCTTTTTTTCCCCATTACACACTCTCTATTGATTTATAATGTCTGAGCTACCATTTTTCTAGTAGTTGTTTTTGCCTTTTTCAATGTGTTTATTTTAAAATTTTAACCACAATTCACTTTGATTGATCTGTACAGATTTTCTGTATCTTCTCTTTTGCCTTCGTTTCCTTCTCTACTATAGATCTTTCTTCTTCAGCTTGAGTATTAGCATCATCTTAAGGAGGTATAAGAATTTAGGGGAGAGTTCTGTTTGTATAGAAAAATAGGTGTTTCTTCAACAGAAAGGATAGGTCTTTGCAATTTGCATTCAACTCTTCTTTTTTATTTCAAAGTGTTGACATAAAGTTTAAGGAGAACACTGAGCTTCCAGAGTCTATCTCTAGAAAGGGAGTTCTATTATATTTAATGTTACTGTGAGTGGGATCATAGTGGGAACATTTGTAGTTGATAATTTCTCTCTTTCTGTTCCAGGATTATGAAGTCTCTGTGGTCTAGTGATAAGTCCCATTAAGACCAAGGGTAGATGCAATGGTAGGAAAGGGGGACAGGAGAGAAAAAAGTCTGGGTGGATGGTGGCCACCCTAACACATGCATCATTTTAAACTGGTTTATCAGAGAGTCACCAGAAAGAAACAAAACAAAAAACTATACTCCAAGCAATAGTTTGTGGAGAGAGAGTGTATGTGCAGCTTGCATATGGAGGTCTGGGTGTGGATTGCAATAGGAGGATGGCAGAAGAGCTCCCTACTGTACTGTTCTCTAGGGATCTAACAAATGCTTCAGTTCAGTTCAGTCACTCACTCGTGTCCAATTCTTTGCGACCCCATGGACTGCAGCACACCAGGCTTCCCTGTCCATCACCAACTCAATGGAGTTTGAGCAATGAAGCTTGCTCAGACTCATGTCCATCGAGCTGATGATGCCATCCAACCATCTCATCCTCTGTCATCCCCAGTATTCTTGCCTTGAGAGAACATCATGAACAGTATGAAAAGGCAAAAAAGATATAACAAATGCTTAAAGCCAAATAACTCAGGCATTGAATGGGGCAACTGGAACAGCTCTTTGCTCATTCCTTGATGAAAGCTGACCAGTGTGAAGTGTTACATCTGATCCAGATCCACTGCAAAATGTATATTTCTCTTGAGATGTCAGTTGGAGGTCTTGAATATGTTCTTGTTTTTTAGTTGCTAAGTTGTGTCTGACTCTTTTGCCAGGCTTCTCTGTCCATGGGATTACTAGAGTGAGTTGCCATCTCCTTCTCCAGGGGATCGTCCCAACCTGGGGATGGAACCCTCCTCTCCTGCATTGGCAGATAGATTCTTTACCACTGAGCCATCACGGAAGCCATGAGAGAATCCTTGTTTAGTTCCTAAGTCCTGTCTGACTCTTTGTGACCACATGGACTGTAGCCTGCCAGGCTCTTCTGTCCTTGGAATTCTCCTGGCAAGAATACAGTGAGTTTGCTATACCCTTGTCCAGAGGATCTTCCTGACCCAGGGATCGAACTCCCATCTCTTATGTCTGCTGCATTGGCAGGCCTGTTCTTTACCACTAGTGCCACCTGGGAAGCCGTTATATTGCCATACAGGTATTCTATTCTACACAG